GCACATTTCTTTAAACACATATATCTTGCCTCTACTATTTTTATAGTAGTGAACCACATAAGACGTTGCATTTCAAAACAAATAATGACTTCCTGTTTAATAATTGAAAGAGACAAAAAAATTTGTTTTGTGTGTTTTGGTTTATTTATTGAGGCAGGAACCTTGACGGGCTTGTCTGAGCACCAGGTTTCACGTCAAATACGAACTTTCACAGCGTTTCGAGACTTCAAATATTTCACATTAGTTTGCAGGTCGAGCCAGGTCTTAGTTAATTTCTTACTCCAGACGTTATTTTATGACAGGCTAATCCTGGCTGGTAGTAATGAAAATTATATATATAAAAAAATCCACTTAAGTTTGTAGTTTTAATGTAGCAAGTTCTGAAAAAATAAATATGTCACACACGCCTGAGTATGTTTCAGTTTCAACAATGCAACATAACCTTGTATTTCACCTGTGTGTGTGTGTGTGTGTGTGTGTGTGTGTGTGTGTGTGTGTGTGTGTGTGTGTGTGGTGTGGGTGTGTGTGTGTATGTGTGTGTTACCATCAACACACCGATGTTTACAGATTTCTAACCCACATGCCGATACAGTAAGTGTACAGGCAGCTTCATTATTGAACTACATAATTCACAAATCTATAATGACTTCCTCAACTTTATTAATAAAATGTTTCATTTCTCATTGACATCAATAAGCTATTTTGGTTTAACCAAATAAACCTGGCATTATATTCATATGCCGTCTCTTTAAATAGAAAAAAAACGAAAACACTTTTATGCAACTCTTTGCAAAGCGTCACTTTGTGTCATGTGGCAATAGAGATGTCTCCAACTGGTTCGGCCATGTTTGACTCATGTCGGTGGAATTTGCCCCTTTGTACAAACACCAGGAAACGACGATTTGGAAACGTTCATGTTGCAGACAGACACTTTGCTTGTGCAGGAGTGTGAGAAGTTAATAAAACAAACATGGAATTTCATTCAAGATCTACAAAAAAATGGAAGCAAATCGCATTCAGGTTGAGGTCGCTTCACTTGGCATATACTCTACTGTATTGCCATATTTCATTATTTACCCACAAAAACTCATTTTAAAATTAAATAAAGATATGATGAGGGTTTTTTTTAAATCATGGCCATAATGTGGAAACTTCAATGGAGGTATAAAATAAAATGTTGGTACACTATTAAATGTGGGGGAATCATGTCTATTGAAAGGGATGGGAATATCAAATACAAAGAAGAAAAAAGGCCTGCGGATCATCATAATGTTTTACGATTTTTAGCACTGTCAATGTCAATTTTCATATCCTGCGGCCCTACTTAAGAGTTCAATTTATCTTTTACTACTGCAGCATAACCGTGTACAAAATAAAGTAAAAATAAATCCTTGAATTGACGATATTTATTTCTGATCAGAGATTCTAGGAACTTGCAATTGATAATCAACGACTTCCTGTTTCACTTGGGAATGAATCTAAAGTGACACAGGCTGATCCTTATTTTCAAGATATGCTCTGCGGAATAAACCCAAAAAGGTCAATTTTACATCGATTATTTGGAGCAACGTTCCAAAAAAAAAAAAAAAATCCACAAATTCTGAACCACGAACAGGTGGGAGGTCCACTCATATAACTTTTACTTCTTTGCAAATCCAAAATTCAGTGGTCAAGAACTGTCGCAACGGGGTACACTTGTGATCATCAAGTCTAAATAATAACCCTTTGGATGCAATTATCATGCCATCTGGTTGTTTTGACAGCAATGTCAGAAAAGAGTCTTCTCTGTCCCACCAACACAAATTGCAAAACTCTTCTGGGATTTTAACTCACACTTTGGTCTGCAAAGTGTAACAAACCCCACACAGTTTACGGAACAAAAGAATGATCTGACAGGGACAGATTTTTTTTTTTTAATTAATAAACACTCAAGACTGGATGAGCAAAAGAAAAAGAAAATGGCTGTGGGAAAGTATGGGTGGACGGGCTGTGTGTACAACTGATTGAATCCATCAATAGCCTTCCATAATGACCCATCTTCCCAGTGGAGCTCACTGCCTGGATAAAAGAAAATTACAGAATGAAAATGTCACCAGCTGAATTGATCTGGACCAACAGGTCTGAGCTTCTTGTTGGATAGTTACAGCTGCGGCAACAAGTCATTTAACCCCAGCTGGTTACAACGAGGAGCTTCTTAAGCAACTATGTGGAAATGCAACTTTCAAGCGTTAGCCTCTCTGGAGTTTGTAAATCACGCGCCAGTCTGCTGCTGTTTGTGTCCCGGAGGACGGCGAAACTGTAGGCTCATATATCGACGCGGGAGACATATGTCTGACATTTCCATCACCAGTACAGAAGGATTCACGTCTCCATCTTGCAGTGACAGCGGCAGCATGTTGTCTGCCGTTTATTTTAAAGCAGAATTGGATTTTCCACGGCGAGAAAAACCACAGCGACGGTACTTTCTCGAACAAAACCCACATTGACTGAGCCTGCTGGCCCGGGTCTCTGTATCACTCACCCCCACCTTCAAAGGAAGTGACCGCCCGCACGCGCCCGGAGAAAAAAAACAACCCCGAACCCGCATGAGACAGCGCAGTTTATGGAGATTCTGTCTAAACGTCATTCCGAAGTTACAGGAGAGCGAAGAGAACCAATACAGTGACAAAAGTTCCGCGCTCGAGAACCGAGCCAAGATTTGTGAGACTGAAACTGAAGCAGGGAGTCTCTAACACACTGCGAGTCAAACAGCGCCGCGGGGTTCTCGGGACTTTGAGCTTAAGTGTCTCAATAGCATCACTCACCTTGGTTCCTTCAAGTTAAGAAGTGACAGTCGGTTCTGAAGTCTGAAGACGGGAAAGAACCCGGGTCTGGTTAAATGATGTGGTTTAATGTCCTCCCTCTGCTGCACGAAGAGTGGAAGAGATTAGGTTCATTCTCCAGCAGCCAGGCACGGTGAACACTCGCTCCGCTCCGCGCTGCTCTCTCTCTCTTTCTTTTTGAATGGGCGTAACTTCTCTGTCTGAGGGGACGTGGGGCGTCATGAGTTACCGTAACAACCGGTGAGGATGGGAAAACACAGTTCCCCGTAAGTATCAGATACAAAGCGCAAAGCAAATGTTGAAATAAAAATTCTTTCAGCTCGAATGGTTCTATTAATATGTTATCATTACTGGCTGTGTTAATGTTATTGTTTATATGACTATTCAATGTATGTTTGTAATATTTTTTTTTCTTACAGATTCTTAAAAATGCACTTCTCCACAGAGAACACTGCATCGTACTCAGAAATACCCACTTTTACACCACCACAAACTTTATTAGACATACACCAATCCAATATCAACATCTGTATCGGTTCTGTTACTGAGAAAAAAATTAGTTTGGGTGACAATGTGCCTGATCCATAATCTATTTGGTTTAATTGTATGCTTTGTACTCTGAGCGACTTCATGTTAGAATCTCTAATTACATTTTCTGAATCATTTGAAAGAAGGCTTGTTGCAGTTTATTTCTACATGTTTGACCCAGGTTGTCATACTGCTACACTCCTAACTGCACTGATTGATCAAATTAAAAGTCATGTTGTTTTTATATGTTTGACCAAGCTTTTTGTCAACTCAGCAATGTTTTTCTGTATCAGAGCAGTAATGGCTCCTACTAAATCTCAGATATTGATATCGGTATAGAAAGTGAACAAAGTGGATTGCTGCGTCCAGAAACTAACATATGTTTTCTCCCCGCAAATCTTTTGTTTCGACCAGTTTGCATGTTTAAAAACAAAAACTTTTACAAATTCTTTGCAAAAGGCCCAATCAAGTTGAATCACAGTCCTTTTTCACCATTTTGTATGCGGGACAAAAAGGTTTCATGTTGGTCCCATCAGACCAGAAAGCCTTCTTCCACATGTCAGTGGTGCCCTCTGCATGGCTTGTGGCAAACTGCAAACAAGACTTTCTATTCTTCTTAGGACTCTTCCATAAAGGTTACGCCTCTAGTGCCAATAGTTGTCCAGTTTTGTCTGCAAGAATCAGTAAAGTGTTTGAAAGTCTTCAAATTAAAGTACTTTTCTGTGTGGTACGCCATCACAAGTAGAAGACGTGGCCACCAGAAGCAACACAGAGCTTGGATGAATACAAGCTGGAATTCAGATGAACATACTTTAATGGAGTTCTTTTTGGGGGTTTTTTGTTTTTCAGTCAAAGAATAAAGCAGAAAGGAAACTGTTTTCTACAAGCATTGTTTTCACGGTGCGCACTGTTGTTGTGGTGGAGCTGAGATCTGTTCGCTTCCCATCGGCCCAACAGATAAGAAAAGTCTAGTGATAGATAACTTTCACCAGAAGGAAATTGGCAGGACGCAATAAAGGATCAAAGGGCATTTAGCAGGGTTAAAAACTGGCCCGCTGCCAAACAACTTTTCAAAGCCAGTTGAATCCTGGCCGATATTTGCTTGGAGTCGGTCGACGCTTGTCGTTTTCTGTTAATCCAGCCAGTTTTTGGAAAAAATTTAATAAAAATAAATCCATCACTGAGTCTCAGTAGGTAGATTTTGGCTATAAGCCCAAATACTCAGCGCTCTGATCTTTGTTACTTTCTTATAGTGAAAGTTTTATGACACACTTTTCCACCAGGCTGGGGAAGAACAAACATCCTGGAAAGAATCACGAGTCAGCCCAGGATCAGAGGCTCCTCCTCTCACAGATTGTATCAGAATTTGGAATAACACTGGATTTTTCCAGAAAAACAAAAGCATTCGGAGCATTTCACTTTTTTTGATATTTTGTAATGTTCCAGCTTTAACTCAAACTGCATTAGAATCTCTGTCAGCCATTTTGAGATATCTCCAGATTATCCAATCAGATCAAAGTGTGGACTCCAGCTCGGCCACTCCAGGATGTTCAGAGTGGTTCTGAATGTCACGTCAAAAAGAACAGTATTTATGTTAACGGGAAAAAGTTACAAAAAAAAAAAAAAAGAGAGGAAACCAAGACATTGAAATAACTGAAATGAAACAGATTTATTGCATAAACAATGTCTGCAAAGAACTTCCATCACCTTCCACAGAGCAGGGAAAGTGAGAAATGTTAAGGTTTCCACAAAGAACTTTCATCTGTCCACACTGTCACCCATACCTCACCTCAGTACTATACCAAGTAAAAAAAAACAAACCCCCAAAAACAAACAAAAAAACAATCTATTATTCGCTCACTGGCTGATCCATTAGCTCCTGGGTGTTAAAATCCCTCTCAACTCCAACAGAACAGAACGAAACTGAGAAACTGCAGCGTTGCTTCCTGATGTCACTGTTAGCATTTGGCACTTACACGTGCTCCATTAGAACCCGTGAGTCGAGATTGAAAAAGCAATAATGACAATGATAATAATAATTTTAAAAAAACCCTGTGAAAATAGAAACAGAAATTTGGAGGGTGAAAATTTCTCTCCGAACCCAACCTCAAAACTTGATTTGCCAGCTAACGCATAAAACTGCAGTATTAAAAGCCATATTTGGACTAATGGTAGTTTATTTCTCTCTGTTAAAGAGTATGCTGAAGCAGGATAATCAATTTGATCAATAAACACAACAAATATTCTTTCACAGTATGCGTTTCATACAGGAAGATTATTGGAGGCGCGCTGCCTCCAACCTCACTTTCCTGTGTGAGTAATCATTGGTTTCCGGCTAAATAAGTGGGAACAAATTAAAGATTTATAAGATATCTCTCACATAAATTATTTCGGACATTTTGAGATTGGAGCTATCAGTTGTGAGCGACATATTAACCCAAAAAAAAGATACTATAGACTATTTCTTTGCGTTTTTTGACGTCATTCCAAAATTTTACTTCTAATTCAAATGGAACGAAACATAAAAAAATCCTGTGCTGATAAATAAACACACAAAAACACACATCTGCTGCACGTGTGCAGGAATATGAGGTGAATGTATTTTCTAATCTCTTTCACAGGCTGACATAAAAATCTAGACTGGGACATTTTCTTTCTTTTTTTTTTCAAATCTGGACAAACAAAAATTTCTTCACATTTGGAAATTTCTTTGTACTAGCAGCAACAAAAAGGCAAATAAAACAAAACAAATAAAAAACAAGACTGCAGTCAGTGAGCTTTAAAAAATTTTTTAAACAAGGCCCATGTTTGGACGATTTTTAAATTAGGTTGAGAGCTTTTCCTTAAACAGTTCTGTATTATCATTTAGTGGTCAGAATGTATAGCAATAGAAACATCATGAACTCAACTACAATGTTAATAAAATACTTATTTTGATTAGTGTTTGTAGGGAAAAATTTTTAGGAGTGCACTGATTTCCTTGATTTTGGGAGATCGGCCGATACTCACAAGCAAAGCCTGATCTTGTCTACCTCTTCAAAAGGCCTGAAAATGTGGCTAATATTTAGCCACATTTCAGATAAAAACCAATCTGGATCGGCCAAAATTGTAATGGGCAGGTCAGATTATTTTAAAATATTGCCGGTCGTTGATCGGCCAGAAAACTGCAACCGGTGCATCCCTAGAAAACTTAAATGGTTTCAAAGAGCAACTCTCGTCAAATCAAATTTATTTTAATCACATTTAGATAATCTCATCAATAAAATTTGCTTTTCAGTGTCAATTTTACAAAACTGTGAATGATTGAGACTTAAATCTAGACTTAAAAAAAAAAACAACAGCAAAAGAAATGGGACAAGAATGGGTCGTCGTCAAACTAAGCCCAATAACAACATACAGTAGAATCAACATACATATTAAGATAAATTCATATATTAGCTAAATATAATATATACAAATAGAATTCATAGTATCTGACAGTAGTTGACAAGATGAAAAGAGACGTAAAACTTCAGTCTCTCTCTGTGGTTCCTGGTGTGCGTGCGCCATCATTTCAGTCTCACGGTACGACCTCTGCTGACCTCTGCGTGTCATTATCTGACCTTTAGCTCCGCTATCTGCCCTCAAAGTCAATCTGGATTGGCTCAGCTGTGGAGGAGTGACGGGGTAAACACAGGTTGCAGGCAGGGTAACCTGAGAGGTTCATGACTACAGCCAAGTAACGGGAAGAAGATTACTTCGGAAGCGAATACCTCTGAAATCACCTGGAACTACTTTAGAAATACGACCCTGTGAATCTGCAGGCTCGGCGCCAAACGCGTTTTGAATCGGCAAGGCAAGGATCTGGCGCGGGAACGGGGGGATGCTTAACCTGAGTCCGTTCTCATGCACGCAAGAAGAGGGAAGCCGGAAGTGATCGAGAATGTGGTGAATTTGGTCTGTACAGCGGAGGAGGGGGAAGACTGACGAGGACCGCAGACCTCCTAAAAAAAAAAAAAAAATCAGAAAACAGATAAAAAGGGCGAGACGATGACAAAGACGGCGAAGGTGCGGCTCCCGTCGCGAACGGCCCTCCTCTGGCCCACGTCACATGGTTCTGCTGTACTGTATGCCGGTTTTGGAGGCGATGTTGGACCAGGGAAGCAGAGAGCGCAGCAGCGACTGGGCCTGGCGGTACAGCCTCTGTGGGATGGAGCAGGGGCTCAGGCTGGCCAGGGTGGAGCCGATGTGCTGAATGTAGTCAGTGGAACGCAGGGTTAAGAAAAACTCACAATATTACAAGGATTCTTATTTATGTACTTCCAGTGGCTTTAATGTCTTGGCAGGTTTGCAGTTGTGCCAATGACAGTAGTTAGCAGAAGCTAATGCTAAAGTGCTAACTTCCAATCTAACCAGTTTGCCACAACTCCTGAGAACAATCTTAATTTTGACAAACTTTACAAGTTACATAAAGCTCTCAGATATTGTAGTCATGTTTGTATCTAGCTCCCTGCTGAATGTATAACTTTATTGAGGAGGTGGGGACAAAGATTATGAGGAGAGGAAGTGAATTGCTGCGAAAACACCCACATCAAAATATCGTCTTAAGACGATAAGCAAAACGTCAACACAGATGTCAGATTTATGGTGGAAATCAGGTGCGTTAAATATTTTCAAAGTTAGCAAGAGCACTAAGCTGAAAATTAGCTCCATTATTAGCAGATTAGCAAAAGTACGCCCACCACTACTAAAATCCTAAGAAAACTCACCTTATTTGGACATTTTAATGTGAGAAAATGTAAACGAAGCAAAACAAATTCAACACTGAAACCAATCACTTTGCCTCATTTTGGCTCCAACAAAAGGATATAATATTGTCCAGGGTGGATGACCGCCGTTAATGTAGAGCACATATGTGAACCCGTCTTTGAGGACGCCCCGTATGGAGTAGTAGTAGGGAAGGTAGTGGTGCTGCCTGAAGTCCCTGTTCTCATAGAAGTGGATGGCAGTGTTGTTGGTGGTGAGGACGTGCAGGTAGATGGCCTTGCAGTGGTCCTGAGCGGTCGTCGAGATGTGCTCCTTCAGACTGTCCAGCAGTAGAGAGCCTGGAGGGTCACAGGGGAACAAGGACAGCTTGACCAAGAAACTGATTTCATTCCACTTCTGGGTAAATTGCACAATATCGCTACCTCCGCACAAGAGCAATCAGCAATAACAGGAGAACGGACAAAGTTATCCGTTCTAGCAGATAACTCTGTGTCAAAGCAGTTTGACACAGAGAGAATGTCACGTCTTCAGTAACAAACTCTGACTGTGGATGGCAGAAGCCAGCGAAGGCACGGGAGAAAGTCAGATGGTCAGATGAGACCATTAGAGAACATTCCATTTGGCACATTAGAAGGAAGAGGAAAGACGAGTACGATCGTCTGTCACTGGATTTTGGCTCTGGCAATGGGCCGTGGCCGAGTGGTTCAGCATGAAGATGACCTGAAAAACAGCCAGGATAACGAAGGAGAGGCTCCATAAGGAGGACTTCACGGTTCTGGAGCGCCCCAGCCAGTCAGTCTCTAGTACCGAACCCAATAGAAAATCATTCGACGGAGCTGAAACTCTCTGTTTCCCAGCAACAGGCCCGGGACCCTAAAGACCTGGAGAATTGCTTGGAGAACTGGGACCAAATCCCTGCTGCAGTGAGTAAGAATTAATAATTAAAGGGGCAGTGTTATAAAAAATCTGTCTTTTTGTGCTTGTTATAATTTTTTTCTCTCTCCACAAACAAACCTGAAGTGTTGCTTTGATTCTTTCATGCATGTTTGAGAAAACCTTTAATCTCCCATGGCAGCCATTCGGCTGTGCAAAACGCCAGGAGGGACACAGCTCCGCCTTCAAGGCGTAGCTCCTCCTCCCCTACTCATCCCTGTCAGACCAGCAGGCAGCAATTAGCATCTGCTGAGCTCATTATAGCAGCTACTTCTGAGTGCTAAACTGGCAACAACTTTGTTAAAGGGTTCATAGAGAGGCCATGTTGTAGTGACTTCCTGAAGGCAGAATTTCAGAAAGAGCAGGAGTTTTTAAAGAGACAATTTGAAGGTGTGAAATTACAAAGTCAAATTTTATTAAGTTATATTTGATACAACGCATTTTATAACAACTGACGTTATCTGATTGTGATATATTATTATTCTATGCACCTGGAAAACCTATAGTACTGCGCCGTTATTAAAAATCATTCAATGTAATTTTCTGGTTTTGCTACTTTTTCTACGGTTTTTCTTAATGGCCGAAAACCTGAAATGCTGGCAGTGTATCAAATACTTACAATTCCACCCGGTACTTTTGTGCAAAATTTCAAAAAATGTACAGTTGGCAGGAATAGTACTCTACCATTTGCCCTGCATTGTGGATGCTAAATTAAAAAAACAGAAGCAATGGACAGGACATCATTTTAGCGGTTTTGCATTTCCTTTTAAGGGATGAATAATTTTCTAACAATCTGACAACAGAAATAAAAAATGACTGTTTCATTAAATAGAAATGAACTGTAGGTAACTTTAATAGAACATGGAACTGCAACATTATAAATTCAAGAACGCTTAAAAGCACAAACACAATATTTGCATGCATCCAACTTGAATAACAAAACATTACCTCCACAGAGATTGGATTGGGATTTATTTTGAAATTGCAATGTGTCTGTACTGTTTATCTATCAAGACAGTCTAAATTGGTCTTCCATTTACTATCAACCTCAGGTTCAACCAAGAACTCTTAACAAAACTCATAAAAACCAGCAGCTTCGATTTAGAAAATAAATAGTTTGTGGAAGCAGTTGTACCTATGCCATGTTTCCTGAACTCTTTGACCACTCCCAGGCTGAGGATGTAGGCGACCTGTGTCTCCACAGGAAAACTGGAAGCCAGGATGTCTCCATCCTAAGACACAGAAAAGATCATTAGAGAACTTATTTAAATTGTCAAGTATTTGTATTAATACCCTAAACATGTTTTGAGTTTTCTCTCTCAGCATGACGCATACTGGACCTCTGTCTACGCAAACTAGCCGCAGGAAGGCAAATTCTACAGATGCAAATAATTCCTGATGGAAATTAGGGAGAAGAACGTGGCCTAAGCGAGCGAAGCAGATTTTTAAGTCTGTACTCGACACAGTTTTGTTCTCACCATGCATGTTGTCTTTCATTCAGACTAAAGACTCTCTCAGTCAGAGAGGGTTTATCTAATTAACACACTAAAAACAGACCATCTGACTCTTTAGACACGCGGCTGGAAGAGTCACACCTGTTCACAACATTTCCACAGAGAACAGGTTGAAACTGCTCATTCCGGCCGCGCTTTTGCTCAATCAGCGCCACCGGACCGACTCACCTCCTTGTGCACTTTGGTCCGGCTTTTGATCTCGGCCACGATCATTCCCACGATGTTTCCTCTGAAGGTGGCAGCGAGGGAGAAGAACTTCTTGTTGGAGGTGATATCTTGATACCATGAGTCTGGGTACCTGGAAACAAATGCCACACAGAATGACAGATGCAAAAAAACACATCCACATCCTTTGGAGCATTTTTCCGCCATTTGTAACAACCACAAACTTCAAGGTGAACACAAATACAAATAGTACTTTTCAGCTTTTGGGTCGTAGAATTTTATTAACTTTTTTTTTTTGAAAACCAAGTATCATTTCCCTTCCACTTTACAGTTTTAAAATACCTTGTCTGTTCATTACATCAAATCCAAACAATTCTGTGAACAAAATGTGACATAATAATTTGAATAATTAAGTCAGCACAGCGGTGGGCACCGCTAGCTAAAAAATAAGTTCCTTTAGCAATAAACCACTATTCACAAACATTCATTTTCTAAAAATGAACCACCACAGTATTTAGTGAAAGCTAATTCTGAGCACCACACCAACACAGTATTTAGCAGAAGCAACTGCAAAAGCGCTACACCAACACGCTGTTCACTGGAAGCTAATGCTAAACTGTGACACTAACACAATATTTAGTGGAAGTCAAAGTTAAACCTAAAGCGCTACATTAACAGTATGTAGAGAAAGCTAACCAATACAATAGTTAATGGAAGCTATTACTAAACTAGTACTAAACATGACATTTAGAAAAAACTAATATCAAAGCACTACTTCAATGTGATGTTTAGCAGAAGCTAATGGTAAAGCACTAACTTCAATTCCAATTATATCTACACTTGAAAGACTACCGCTCTCGAGCATCAATTTAATTTTTGACCTTATTTTTAATAACGCCCTTTGATGTTGCATTTATGTTTGTACCTTTTTCTCAACTGGTTGTACTTTAGTTTGTTTTTGCATGTTTGTTCTTTATAGTAAAGTTGTTGGGGGGCAAGAAGGGGAGAGAACGGGAAGAAAGGAAATGGAACTGAGGCATAAGCAGTCTTACCCCACTTCAGAATTAGAGCCTAAATATAAATGTCTTACCACTTAAAGAATAGAACTGAAGGTGAATTAGTGCTTTAGAATTTATATGGAAAATTTAATTTAGGGGATGTTAATTGCACTAAACTTGTCCAAAGTCAGCAAAGGTGCTAAGCTAAAAACTAGCCGCACTATTAGTGGTTCAGCAAGAGTGTGCTCATTATTGCTCATCGATTGGAATAAAGTCCACAGTAACTTCAGTCTCTATATGTAGATATGAAATAGCCAAAATCAAAAATATACAATATACCTTTTTTTAACAATACACTTATTGGGGAAAAAAGCTCAGAAAAATCTCTTCAAATGTAATTTTTATTTATATCATTAGAGCACTTTGGACTACTAAGCAAACAAATGTTCACTTGTTTTGCAGAATGTGAACCATCTGTGCAAATAAAGGTAAATAACAGATTCTCTAATTCTTGGTGGTATTTTCATGCTTCATTATTCAACATTTTGATGTGAAACAGTGACACTTCAAAATTGTTCACTTAGTGTGTTCTATAACTTTGTGTTTGTGTGTGTGTGTGTGTTTTTTTATGACGTAAAGCACTTTGAACTGCCTTGTCGCTTAATCAGTCAAGTTGCGAATCAAACTTGACTGATGGATTCGCAGAGAAGTTCAGAAATGGTGAAGCTTACTCGATGGGGAACCAGTCGCCACACAGTAGTTTGACATTCTCTATGTCATCGTGACAGAGGAAGCGGAGCTGGACTTCACTGAGAGCTGTGGGAGGCACCACGTCACTCATTCACACCTGCAGAGGTCAACACACACCACAGGGAGGTTTAGTCAGACTGCATTTACAGCTTCAGGATGCCTGACGGTCACACATCAATCGCTTCCAAATATTAACCGCTTGAAGTTGCGGGTTAGAGGGAGTGTTTGTGTCAATCGAGATTGTTTGACTATGCTGCTTTATCAGAATAAAAAGTGTAAAATGTGGATCCAACAAGTCTTGTCATTTCTTTTTTATTAAATTGTGGACCAGAAGTTGCACAGTTTGTTACATGTGAGATACATTTGCCTTAGCTATATGGCAACGAGCACAGGTTTCACTGACTGTAGGAGAAATCCTTGAGAGTCTGGCTCTACTGTCATGAATCCTATGAAGGACCTTGAACTGAATTAGTCCAAGTCGAGCGCATGATGTTGACCCATTCACTCCACGTAATCCGTGATTCCAAGTCTCATCAGAGATGTGTATTCCAAGTTCTTCTGACCATTCTGCTCTGATCTCATTGAGATTTACTGTATTGAGTGATGAGATGCTATTATATATTTTGGAGATGAGTCCCCTATATTGTGCTGGAGTTTGCAAAATGATGTCTATTCCTCCCTTTGGGAGTAAATTTGGAAAGCAGGGACTAATGTCACGAACAAAGTCACAAATCTGGAGATATCGAAATAGGGAGGAACGCTGTAAACTAAATTTAGAGGAAATAGCATCAAAGGTAGTGAAAATACCATCTATATAAAGTCATTATATAGCATTATGCCAGGCCCTTTGATTTTGGATCACAATCAAAGGGCTGATGGAAGAATTTTTGCTCTTGCTTTTGAACTTTCAAATAGTTATTATACTTTCACAAATGGGAGAAGCTGAACAGCATCTCTAAAGCTCAAATAATTCCAGAACTTTGACCCCAAATTGTACAGGAAGTGAACAGGAAGAGGAGCGGCTAAAGCTAACGAGGTCAGTTAGCATTGATGGTCAACGACTGATGACGTCATTCATTACATGCTACTGTGGAATATCTTCTCTGCTCCCCAGAAAGTGAGCTGTTGTAATGTCATGACAGTCATACAGCAATGACCTTCAGTCAGAGGCCTCTTCCGATTCGCCTCAAGACTGACTGCTACCGGATGATTTTTGAAGATAATGGGGTGATATACGTTACAGCATTTAATTTCCTTTTGGGATAAATGAAACATGCTTTTTAAATGAATACAAGCAATGGTGAGGTTGATTTATTTGCTTTCTCTCCTGATCCTCTTTAACGTGCCCCCGGATGGAGCCGCGGATGTTTATCACACTGTCCCAACCCGCTGCGAGCATCATGAACTTCTGGCTGAGCTCAGAGCAGGACAGGTGATGCAGGGAGGGCTGAACAGTTTCCATTTGTCATTGAGATAAAACTCTTCGATAAAAACCACAAAATGCACATGAGCTACGCGGGAAGCCAACCAACGCGCAGCAAAACAACGCCTCATTTTCCAAGGAAGCCCAAATGTCTTCCAGCTTCCATACAGGCTAACCCCAAGCTAGCGCTCGGTGGCTAAGCTAACTCACCTCGTTTCAAACAGTCGCACCCGGAGGAAAGTGGAGCAGCGCCGAGTTCCCGGGCTATCAGTCGGTTCTGTCACTACTTCGGACACACCATGGCAACACCCCGGCTGGTTTCCGGCCCTCAAAGTCGCCTCATTCCTGAGCAACTCGAACGCGAGTTGGACAACAACTGGATGTTTTCTTCCTGTTTGTAACCTGACAGGCGAGGCTTCTTCTTCTATGGCCCGGTTAGACCGGAACGCACGTTTACTGGCACTTTACTGCCACACGGTGACTTGAAGTGTTGACTGCGCTTTAAAAAAAAATGTAAGAGACAATGCTTTTCTAGCGTCACTGTAAGTGTGCGAGCTCTTTCTTTCCTCAACATGAAGGCAGTCCTGAACAAGTTCTTTTGTCTCCTTTCCGTTCTCTCATCCTCTCGTCCCGAGCCTGGCTCTGCTTCTGCTGCAGTTTTCTTCCTGTTGTTAAACGGCTGCTACATGCTGGTCCAGCAGCCTGCAGCTGTCAGGCTTGAAATTGTCAAAATTCATTGCTACCAACACTGATAGATGCAGAAAATGACAATTATTACATCAGATTTAATTACATTTTTTTTATCCGTCAGAACAGAATTAAAAACAAGCAAATACATACTTTGACAGCAGGGGAAAAAATTATATGGGATATAGGATGAAGTAAAAATTATATATTTCTGATGAACAACTTTCATTTTGTTGGGTCCAGGTGTTTTACAGGCTTTGGGGGCATCAATCCAAGCAGATTTGTTTTGAGACTGAAATTTTCACAGGTACTTGAGCTTCATCTTTTGTCTAGACCAACAAGCAAGTCATCCAGCTGTTGAAGCTCAACATTTATTTTCTGCTTCCTGTATCTCAAAATCCAAGATCATCAAAGGATCTCGGGGGACATGTGTGTCCATGGCGATGGATTTCAGAAGCTCTTCATCTCACCTGATCTGTCTTGTCACATTCGTAAAGAACATAGACAAGTGGACTTTGGTTGTGCTGATGCAAGTTTGACTTGCCTTTAAGCCTTGATGCATACACACAATTCAGTAAAATCACAGTGGTAGCATTACAATCAGTCATTCAGCTGGAAAACTGACAAAACCTTGATTTAAGTCCAAGTCAACAAGCTAGCTAATGAAAAAAAAGCTACTTAACTTAAAAATTATCCAATGTAATTTTCTTTTATGTTATATATATATATATATATATATATATATATATATATATATATATATATATATATATATATATATATATATATATATATATATATATATATATAAATAAATAAATATATATACATATATAATGAAAATTACAGACCTCTCCATGCTTCATAAGAGGGAAAACCTCAAATATCGACTGAGAATGAATTCAAAAAGCGACTCTGCAAATACAATAACAGCCAAATGGGAGGAGTGTTGATTTTGGCAAGAAAGTCAAGAAGCTGTGGATGGGAGGTAGCAGAAATTTTCCATCACTCATAACCCCAAATAAACTTGATCAGAAACGGCCAACAGCTGCTGCCTTCCCAATTCCCACTTTTACCCAACGATAAATGAACATATTTAGGGAAGGTGAACTGATAGGGAAAGTTCAACACGTTCAAGTATTTCATAAAAACTACTAAAAATGTTGTTGAAAAATATCCTTTTAGAACAAACTCTGAAATCCCAGTCTCCAGTTCAGTGACTGCAGGATGATATGAAGTCCTTTTGTACTTTTTTGTGTTTGACTTAAAATCCAAAAGTGTCTTTATAAATGAACGGTTACCTTAATGATCTCGTGGGTTTTATTTGTTACTGTATGACATTTAAGGCCTTAAATGTCATATAGCAACTGTAACACAAACACTGTTTCAATGGGCAAAAACATTTCCGTCCACACACAGGAACAAGGAGGTGGCAGCATTATACTGTGGGATATCTATTGTTCAGCATAGGTAGAAATAGTAGGTTTATTATTAATATCCATTTCCAACAAAAAATTAAAATAACAAGTGACTGCCACACATGTTCAAATGAAATATTACACATTGTTTATTGGTGAGAAAGTAAAAAAACGAGGTATTTATTTTTAAACATTATTTTATTTTTTATATTTTGGCCGACAAGCACTTTTAAGTTAAATATTTTGGCTCACGGTTTGAACGTCTCTGGTTAAGATCAAAATAAAAGTATGTGTAACAATGGCCCAGTCAAAGTAACATGGTACAGGGCCCAGAATACAAAAGTCAAACATGGTTGTCACATTTTTATGTGCAAGAATTTCAGAAACTATAAATCTGACACCGATATGCAATTATTTTCTTGGTCTATACCAAAAGTCAGTGAGCTTTACAACAGATTAGAGCCGTAAACGATACATGGGAAAAATTAGCTAATTTATCCTCGATTATTAAAAATGTCTGATTTTAAAATGAAAGAAAAACATGTTTATTTTTGTTGTTACGTTTTAAAACAAAGAAAATTATCAAACTTTTTCACACAAGTGGAATGAACACAATTTTCCAATGAAGCTTTTTTCTTAAAAAAAATATTTTTTAAAACTTTTTTCAAAACAATATTTCTTACACTACTAGTATTATTTGTAAAAATGATCTGGATATATCACATGAAAACAGCTAGCTTGTTCTATTGCCTTTACATCTTAATAATGATAATAATTATTATAAATTTTATTTGTATGGCCCTTTTGTAAACACTCAAGACACTTTGCAGAAATCAAGTCACAACGAGAAGAAGTTATTAAGTTGTTATTAAGTTATTAAGATCCACAGTGGATGATATGGATCCACTCCAGGTTGCCCACCTGGAAACTTCATAAAAACTGAGGTTTGTTGATGTGATCAAATGTAAATAGGTTCAGGGGACATCAGTGCAACTGTTGCAGTCTAAAATGGACCTTGAATTGTAATAATGAAAGAAAACCTGAGCAACCTTCACAACCCACCTCCTGTCATCTCTCCTCCCAGCATGCCTCCGTCACATGGAGCAGCAGGTAAACAAAACCCCCTGAAGCGGGACGTTATCACTGTTCCTATAAAAGCCCTGGGGGCCGGAACAAGCCAGGCTTTGTGTCCACGGCTGACTTTCTTCTTCTTCTTCTTCTTCTTCTCCCTGAACAGGTACGCACTTCTTGGCTTTATTTACAATTCGACGGCTGTTTGCTCTCCGTGGAAACCGGATAACGCGTCACATCACAGGCATAATATTTAGCTGGTTTTTATAAAAAAATAAATAAATAAATAAATAAATAAATAAATAAATAAATAAATAAATAAATAAATAAATAAATAAAAGGCATGAGGTGAAATAAAAATAAAAAAAGCAGAATATGACATTAAAGGTTCCGGTGCCTGCGCGCGCCGCTGTGGGTGATGGCGCAGGTGTTCCCAGGCTTCACATTCCCACACCGAAACCGGTCTTTCTGTTTTTCTGAGACATTTAATCCCCTGGTAAAAAATGTCCCAAAAGCCTCAGAATTACCACAACTTTTGTTGCTGTAGGAATAATGCGCAGGAAACCAGTTTTGTGTTAATTTGATGTATTTTTCCCGAAGTAGCTTAATTATGTTTAAAATCTTGTTATATGTCAAAGTAGCTTTGATCCTATGCCGTCTGGTGTTGCCTTTATCAGGAGCCCAAAACTTTCCATATCCTTCACCATACAATAAGCCAGAGGTGAGGAGCAGTAGCTACATTTACTCAGTTAGCTCTACTTGAGTAACTTTGTGGTAAAAAAAAAAAAAAAAAAGTTACTCAACTTTTTGAATAACTATATATTATATAGTTGATCAAAATATATTTTTTATATATTTTTTATTATATATATAATTTATTTATTTTTTGGTATTTTTGTAGTATTTTTAGAGCAATGGACACAAAGTTGACATTTCTTCCAATAATTATTACAGTTTATGGACTGAAAGCCAATTAATAATTGTTTGATTTGCTGAAAAGACGAGTATATAACGACCTCTGGATGATATCAGTTCCACATGCTTCTGTTAAATGAGACTTTTTCCACATTAAGGTTGAACGTCTGTGGCACCGGGATGCACGCGCTATGCTCCGTGGGGCTCTTTGTTGGCCTGCTGCATCTGTCCTCCAGTCTCCTGCTGGGAGCCTTTAACATCAAGACATTTGGGGAGACAAAGGCATCCAACACCACGCTGATGGACGTCATCAGCACGGTCTGCTTTTCATGTGTTTAAATGTTTTTGGTTTTTTTTACTGTTGTTTGTAAAACAGGCGAGGTAGGGAACAGGTTTTTCAGAGGGTTTGGTTTGTTTGACACAGATCAGTGTGAAAACGAACCGCAGCAGCTAAAACTTTAACAAATGTTACATCTTTGGCCCCCAATCAAACTGAGTCTACCAGATTAAAATATGTAAGCACATATTCAGACTTCACAAGATAATTGAACTAATTTAGATCTATAAAACCAGCAGAATGAAAATAATCAGTTTTGCTGTGTGACCCCGCTTCAGATCGTTCATCGATACGACGTCATTTTGATCCAGGAGGTCAGAGATAGCGACCTGTCGGCAACCAAAAAACTCATGGAACACGTCAACAAGTTCGACACATTCGTACCCAGCTCACACTGCATGACATGTTGTACTTTTTCTATCCCTTTGTGAAAGAGAGGAGCAATATGTTGTGGTTTTAATGTGTATGTGTGTGTTTTCCGTAGAGGTTCTTCTCAGTTCAGCTACATTGTGAGTGAGCCCCTGGGCCGCAGCACCTACACCGAGAGATACCTCTTCCTGTACAGGTACAACGAGCCAAAACACACTGTTTACATGCTTTCATGTTGAAGAATGTGAACAGTAGGTCTGCTGTTAAAAATCATTTGTTCACCTTACAAAGCTTTGTGTAGTGGAAGGTTGAAATGTTGCTAGCTTAATGAAGGATGACCAAAGTTTTTGCACCTCAAGTTGAAATAGAAAATTTATTCTTTCCAAATAAAAACACTTTTTAAATTATTATTATTGGGAATTCTTCTGATTTCACTTGCTCAGTAATAAATTACATACACAATATTTTGATGCAGCAAAGGAGAAAATAATATATTGTTGGATTGAAAAAGGGTCTCAGGTGTTAAGGGTGTAGAGTTTTCTGCCTCTTTGGATTAAATTTTTTATAGTTTGTTGGGTAAAATGTTTTTAATCCATTGTGGCCCTACTTCCTTTTAGGTTAAATTAAGGGGCAAAACAACACGGCTGATAAACATGCTTTGTGTAGTCGCTAACTCTTTACGTATTAGAAGAAATCTATTATGTAGATCTCAACTTAAAAAGTGAGACAATTTTAGGCAAACCAACAAGTGTCAAAATTTGTACAGAAATACAAGCATAATTTATTTAAGTCATCAAAGTTGATTTGGTGGTTTGTTACATTTTATTTGTGCAAGAAAATAATGCATTTGAACCGTCTCTCTGCAGGCAGGCGAGTGTTTCTGTGGTTAAAAGCTACACCTATGATGATGGCTGTGAGTCCTGTGGAACAGACACTTTTATGAGAGAACCTTTCGTCGTCATGTTCTCTTCTAAATACACCGGTAAGCTTCACAGAGGCTGTGGGAACTTTCCTGCTTTTTGCCAATGATTGCTTTGCAAAAGTGTTAAACCATCACTAGTTTCAATTAGTTTTCTCTCTAAGGAACCAGACTTTTATGTTCTCCTTTACTGTGGTCATGATGTCTTTGAAAGTCATTTTATCATCATTCTGCTTTCTTTTTTCATATTGAATCCAGTGTTAACATCAAATTGTTCTTGTTTTATCTCGTTTTGCGGTCTCAAGAGACAGGGTCCACTGGACCCCACAAGCTTTTTGCAATGTGCGCAGGTCCGGCGGAGTCATAAATACATCGTAAATAAAATCTTAAGGCATTGTCTTCACATATATTATTGAAAATCAAAAGTTGATTGCAGTAAAAAGCACTTCCGGAAACACTGGAATTTGTTGTTTACACATTTTTAGAAATTGCAGCAAAATTTACCACCTCCCATCAGTTTTTCACAGTTCTTCATGCTATAATTAGCAATATCACTATATTTAATTTGGATTTTCAAGAAAACAAAACATTGGAATTGTTTTACACAAATGTCAAGGAAATGGAAATATCGGACATCTGGGAAACTCCAGTCACGACCTTGTTTTTCTGTGCTCAAAATGTTCAGAATATAAATCCCTTTTTCAGAGATGTCATGGAAAGAAAAGGACTGTGAGGACGTGGTCAAAGACAACTGAAGAAATCCTGTTGTTATGGGTTGTTATGAGGCTACTGATTGGATTTCTCTTTGCCAGCCACACATCAATGCCAAGACTGAGTGTGTGACTGACCCAACACAACAAGACTCAAAAAACTACATATATGATGCTAAATTTCATGACAAACTGTATTCCCTGTGATTAACATGTTTACGACAGACTTGCATTTTTATTCATTTAAGACTTTTTAAGGCCGTATTTATAGAGACATGAATGTAAGATTTTTTTAAAGGATGTGTGGACTCTCCTGGTCTTTCATAAAGGTTAGGTTTGGATAGTGTTCTACTACTAGTCAATATTACTCCGTAGCAGATCGTCCAGAGTTACTCTGAGCCTCTTGACAGCCTGTCCGATTATTGCTGACCACGCTCAGGCCTTTAACAGCTGCTCTGATTGTTTTGCAGCATTGCCCAGCTTCACTCTGATCCCCCAGCACACCTCTCCGGATTTTGCTGTGGTGGAGACGAATGCCCTGTATGATGTGGTGACGGACGTCCGCACCCGTTGGAACACCAATGTGAATAAACTGAAAGTAAAAACATGGTGAGAACGCTGAAAATCATAAAGCAACGTTAACCCTTCGCCCTCTCCATGCAGAACATTGTACTGCTGGGGGACTTCAACGCAGGATGTAACTATGTGAGTGGCTCTGACTGGGATCAGATCCGCCTGTTCACAGACAAGAGCTTCCACTGGTTGATCCCCAGTACGGCTGATACCACCGTCTCTCACACTAACTGCCCTTATGACAGGTACGTCCACACTCATACACTACACACAACTACACACACACATGCATACGTCAACTCCACTATCTTCCCACTCGTCCTTCTGTTTCTTGCAGAATCGTGGTCACAGCAGACATGTTGAAGGGAGTGGTGTACAGCAGCGCTCAGGTTTATGACTTCATGGCTGACCTGAGGCTCAGTCATAGCCTGGTAAAAACCAGTCTACTTTAATAAAACAGTGATTTTCTTGGCCTTAGGTTTTGGGTTGGTCACTGTCATAGTGACTAGGGGGTCACAGATGAAAGTTTTCCATCAGCCCAATAACTCTACACATCACATTCTGATCTAATACTTAAAATGCTGTAGTTTAGTTTCATAAAGTAGCAACTAAAAAGCAAACTGTAGATAATTTGTAGATGGTTATCAAGCTGCACTCAGTGCCATCATGTAGTATCTCTGTAAAGTCTCCACACGTTTGTAAAACGCCAGGTTTTTGCAATGTAAAACAATGACACTATGATAAATTATACAATTTTTCCACAAATGTTGCTTTTATTCTGCAAAAAATAAATGCCGAATTGTTTGCCAAGAGGTAACAAAGGAGCACGAGGCCGTCACTGTACAAACCAGTAATTAGAAAAACTAGACTTTCTTTCTAAGTCACTGAAACACAAATCAGAAATTGGTCAAAATAAGCGAGAAGTCTGCTTCTACACCTGCAGGAAGAGAAAAAAATACCCCAAGAGAACTGAGAAACCATACCGACAACATATACATTTATATCACATTAAAATGAGGTGGTGAAATGATTCATTTTACAGCGTGAGTCACTGCATTTGGATGGTTCGAATTGAGTGTTTTGATGTGGAAGCTGGACTGACGTTTGCTCCGTCTCTTTCTCCCCCAGGCGCTGGCGGTCAGCGACCATTTCCCGGTGGAGGTGAAACTGACCACTTCCCTCTTCTCTGCCTGAATCATGACTCCCACAACCGAGGATGATCTCATCAATCATTTCATGAAATACAAAGACCCAAATAAATCAAAATAAGTCTTCACAAACTCAGACTTTCCTGTTTCTGAAACAAAAAAAGAGGGAAAAAAACAAAAGCTTGCGGCTGTATTGCTGTGTTTTCTGTTCTGGAAAGTAAAGCTTTTTAACATTTCTTGCGCAAAATTTGCAACAAGATTGTATATATTTCAGCTTGTCATAAGAGGTGAAATGGGAATAATATTTTACATTCACAGTAAACCCAAGGGTTACACAGGCTCCGTCTATTTCCTGGCCTGTTTCAGCTGGTTAAAGGGCCAGACCAAGAAGTTTTCTCTCGTTTCTAAGAAGACAATAAAAGTGTAACTTTATGAGAACGCTACAAAACTCTTTGATAAAATAAGGAACGCTGTGACATTATAGTTGGCGTCAGTTTTACAAATAAGGAAATATTTATTTTAACACAGATCTCTGCTATGCTACAATGAGGACGGATGAACCGTCTGACTCTAACAGTAAGTTGTTTCTCCGCCATTAGCACATTTAAGCTGAGCATGACTGGCATTGCTAAAACCCTCCTTTCGTCTCTGATTAGTTTGTTTGAACAAATTTGTAAAAAAACAAAACAAAACATTGTTTATAAAAGTTTCATACAGCAGCTTTGGGTGCTAAAACACTTTCATTCACTCACTGTACAAATCCAAAGATTTATTGAGACATTTCACATTGTTTAGTGTGCAAAAAGAAGAAGAAGAAAACCTGTGAGATGGCCATGGCTTTGCTTCAGTCAAGCTACATGAATCGATGGCGGCCTCGGCTGTTAGGGTTCTTTCAAAGTAGAGGAAAAACAGGCACTTACAGGTCAAAGGCTCATCTGTCACAAAGTATCAGGAACTGGCACATTTGTCCATCACTGTTCACTCACTGCATTTTACTTTTCTACCATTTAGACTGAACTGTAGGGTATTAATATGATTTTTTTTTCAAATCAAAATGATAGGAAATCAGAGCACAAAGCAATGGTAGTGTATTTTACCTACAATAAATCCTTCAGACCTTTGCTGTATTTAATGTTTTGGGTCATTCCCATTATAACACACAAAGATGAGCTATAAAGTTCTGTGTTCAGTTTCTCTGGTGTGTGTTTGCGTGTGTGTGTGACTGTGATCCCTAGCCCTTCTTCTGTTTCAGCATCTCCATATACATGCGCAGAGACTTCTGGATGGACTCTTTTGTGATGAAGCTGACAAAGTTTTGGATGTCGGCCTCTCTGTTGGAACGCAGTTTTTCAATTGTTGGTTTCCTCATCATGGACTTGGTGATCTGTCGGGCGTGTTCTGCAGAGAAACAGAAGAACCGTTCATCCAAAACAGTTACAATTTTATTGAAAACTGTAATTGTTGTTGCAGAGTGATGTCATCTATATGACATGCCAGTTTTTAAAATTACATAAGGCTTTGAAGGTCATTTTTGGCAAAAAAAAAATAAAAAAAATAAAAAATACTGAAGCCATTTAATGTTTAATGCACGTAGCATCATATGGATTGGCAACAAAAGTGAGCCAATGGTGAATATGAATATCTAGTGACTGGCCAGCTTTTCAAGTATGCTAGTAGCTAGTTTGTTAGTGACCGCTTCGAGTCGCAGACTGCAATGAAGACGTCTGCGGCCGACTCAAACTTTTGCCTGACAGAAAATTTCTGAGGAAAAAAAAAAAAAATGAAAACAGTCCTGCCATGACATAATTAACATATTTATGGCCAACTTCATAAAAAAAAGAAAGAAAAAAAAGAATTTCAGACCTTTTATGGCTTTAATTTTAGACTTGCATGCTAAGCATGCACAGACGTCTTACGTGTACATTAATTTGCAGTTCCTGTTAGCAGGAATTCATATCAAGTCAAAGCACCACTAGTGCTTTAGTGGTGCTTACCTGGAATGGCCAACCACTTGGTCATGGTCTGAGTGGCAGCAGAGAGGACCTGGTCTTCAGGCACCAGCTGGTCCACCAGTCCTATTTTCAGGGCCTCAGCAGGCTTGTAAAGCAGCCCTAGCTCCAGAGACGTCTCTGTGTGCCGGTGGCCCACCGTGTTCACCATGGTGTCTTTAAACCTGAGATGACAGAATGGGGTGGTTTAGATCAGACGCACTAGTACCTTCTGTCAGCGCACTAAGAGAGAAAACGCCTCACCAAAATGGTGCCACTATGCCCAACAGGGTCTCGTTCAGCCCGATGCTGTAACGAGGGTTGTCCGCCATGATCCTGTAGTCGCACGTCATCGACAACAGACAGCCGCCTGCAGGACTGGAGCCCTGCGGAGGGAAACAGGATGGAGGGTGATGGGGTTTAGTGTCAGCCGACCCAGTTTCTGTCAACAGTATAGGGATCCACTCCATGAGACAGGATGAGGAAAAAAAGTATGTAAAATATAAACATGAATCCATGCTTTGTCTTTTTCGTACGTTGATGGCTGCTATGGTGACCATGTTGGAGCCATAAAGCTTCAGCCACATCTCCTGCACGGCCTTCCAGAACTCTCCGCAGCGCTCCGGGCTCTTCCCATACATCTCCATGATATCCAGGCCGGCGGAGAACACCTTGGGCTGGCTCTGGACTCAACAGAGCCACAAACACGCACATGTTCACAGAACTATTTACCAACGCCACACTGATCTGCATGGCGGCTACATCAGCAGACGCTACCGAGGTGATGATGAGGCCTCGGCAGCCTTTGTCCATCTCCAGCTTCTCCACGGTGATGCAGATCTCTGTGAGGAAGTCTAGGCTGAGGCTGTTGACCGGAGGACTCTGCATGTGCATCACGGCCACGCCTGGACACAGAGAAGAACAACAGATGCTGGACTTCAGCATGAGACATGGAGACCGTGTTTCAATGCAATCCCACATTCACGTTTATTAGATCTCGTCCAGTTTTTCGTCCTTTTGAATCAATGGGATTAATAAATGTGGGTCTAATTGATTTCATTGAGAATATGCGAGGGAAACTGGATGGCAATAAAACCACAAGTCGCACCTGCAGTTTGGTCATGATCCACCTTGAGGGTGGCTGAGCTGGAGTTGCTCCTCTGACTGATGGAGGTGGAGGTCGCACACAGCCTGTCATGACTGCAGCAGGAGAGGAGGCCTTCAGGGAAAAACAGGAAAACAAGCTGTCTGAAGACACAGGACAAGTCCAATCTGTGCTACGTTCACTGTCCAGCTCAAAGAACAGCAGAAGTTCTTCAATGCGTCAGTGAATTAAGCCAAGAAATTGATCTAAAAATGTAGGAAATACGCGCATGTCACTGTGCACTCGGAAGCCGTTTCGTTCAGCACGAAAAGCAGAACTATTCATAGGAGAATGCCAATGAAGACGCGTAAAAGTGACGACATTGTGCTGTTTTTGTCGCGTGACCTTTGCTCCACTTTCCGTCTGTCAACCAGCAAAACTAGCAGGTGCTAACAGACGGACACGTCACACCGGACAGCCGGCCAGGAAGTAAACGACAATGCTTAAAGTGACACTCATATCATAACTGCGCACAAACGGTGACAAAAGCCAAACCTGCGAAGCGTCTCTTCCCTCTCAGAGCAGCTCTCAAAGCCATCTTGAGTCTTCTTCTCCAGCACGGACAGCGGCAGCGAGTTTGTCGTGTTGAAACAGCGCCCTCCTCTGCCCGCTCTGAATAATGCAGCCGAGAAGACGCAGAAAACAGGATTATTTTCAGAAAAAACATTTCCAATTTGCATCTGGATATATTTTGAAAATAATAACAATAACAGTGGTAATAATGACGATAATTACATTTAATAATAAAAGCTCTGCACCATATATGGCGAAAATTGAACGTGCAAATTAAAACATCTCGTGAAAGTGAGCATGCGAAGCACATTATAGTGAATACATCATTCAATTTTTTAGTAATTTTAGTAAATACATGAGTTAAAATCAGTTTCATAGATGTACATATACGTATTTACTGGCGCGCTTCTTTTGACGGTTGGCGGTTACCGCGGCAACCAGTAACTGACAGCTCCCCTTCTTCTGTTGCGGTTTGTGAAAGTGGTACGATCAGGATCAGCTCTCTGTTCTCTTTGCATTATATTTGAACACACGCTTTAGGCCAGTTTAATGAAATACAGTGTTCCATGTGTAATTTTGCCATGTTTTGCATGAGCTTTTAACATGTTGTCTATTTATTTGGTAACAGTGAGCTGCTGCTCACTGGGAGCCGTTGCTCTGTCCTCTGGGTTGTTTGTTATATTTTGTTTCATGTTTGAGGGCAGAAGGTGCTGGACTGCCAACTTGATGTGCTCTCATTGTCATTTATGTCAAAGATGAGAGATTTTATTATATTTACATTTGAAATATGTGCTTGTAAACACTAGAGTAGAAGTGTAGGTAAAAAACTGACTCTGAAGAATAAATCAGCAGGTTTTAGTCCTGATTATCGATCAGTTTTACTGAAAAGCCATATTGCACCAGTCAGTGGGAAGGTTCTCTTTCCTCCTTTATGTGTAACTTTAAGTTTTGTGCTTAAAATGTAAAGTCTCACACACTGTTTCCTCCGTTTGCTCACTTATTTAACGTTTTGAATGCATCACAGTAGGTGATGTGAAATAAATGAGTTTTGTTTCTTTTTTTCCCCTCCCTGCCTTTTGCCCAGAAAGCTCTTCCTCCTCATCGCTGGAGGCCATCGAGTGTCATAGGAAATCCATCGCTGTGCGTCACCTCTGCTGCCCATATCCTGGGGGACACATCGCTCCCCTCTGCCTCCTTCTGCCAATCCGACCCCGCCTGCGCGTCAGCATGGATCTGGCAGACTTGGAAGACATGAGCGGCGGCTGTGAGGGCAAAAACTGCAGCTTGGCGTCCAGGCTCCGGGAGGACTGCAGAACCCAGGACTGCTACTGGGAGGAGCCCATGTTTGGACTGATTGAGTTAGGTAGGTAGAAAATCAATCAATCAAATCAACAAGCAAAGTTTGATGTGTTCTAGAAATTTGAACTAAAGTTGATGATAGAGTCAAATCAAGATGGCCATTGACAGTCTTTCTGACTTTAGGTCAAAATGGGAAGCTATACACACTGCTATGACAAATATTTTGATTATTTTTTCACTCCTGAGCACAATTAGAATGGATTACAGAAAAGATGAGAGGTATTATACTTTGAAAAGCTTGAATTTGTCCCTCAACAAAAGGTATCTAGATTATTGGGTTTGTTGTTCCATTTCACTGTCTACTTTGGACAAAGAGAAACTGATTGCTATTTTCAAAGAATATGTCCATTTTTGCTGAATGATTTTTAGGCAATTCAGGCAATCCGCTGTCATTTCAGTCATTACTCAGTCATCTGGTTGCACACGCGAGAAAGATTGATGAGAACAAGAGGAGATTTGAACAAGCCTTCGAGGGAAATCAGTTCGTTTTCGTTTTCAGTCTTCAGAAAGTGAAGATTTCACAAATTGTCAATCTGTATTTTTAAGTAATCTGTAACCAGTACTCAAAGTAACCGACGTTGATGTTGCTGTTTCCATGCTCGCAGCAAACTTTGGTCGTTCTAGTTTTTAATTTCTCTTTGTTTTTTGGTTTGTTTGTTGTTGTTTTTTTTTAAATAAATTTTTCACAAATAAAAAAACTGTGTGTTCAATCAGCCCTGCTCATTCTGGGACACTACAGTTCACGTTGACTCCCAAGTATTTTAGACTCTAGACTGGAGAAAATGAGCTGCTGACTCACTAATAAAATAGTGAAGTAGTCATTTAGTTCAGAGCCAACTGCTTGGAGCCGATGGCAGCGTTAGCATTGTTAGCGGTTAATGGTTTGCCAGCAGCTGTACTTCCAGTGGTGACAAATCATCTGTTGCTTTATTTATTTTTTTATTATTGGATATAAAATTTGGCCCGTTTTCAAGCTACATCATTTACAACCTGTTTGCTCATCATTTGTTGGTTTATTGTTTGTTTGTTGAGTCTGAGCTAAAAGCCCACTCTGAACATTCAGAACCACAAAAAATGCCAGATCTTCTAAAACACTTCAATCTATGTTCTTGTTCCAGTTTGCGTGACGATGGTTTATATTCCACTGATGCTATTCGGCCTTCTGGGGAACGTCCTGACCATACTGGTGGTGTGGCTTCGTCCGCACATGAGGAGCTCGACGTACCTGTACCTGAGCAGCATGGCCGTCAGCGACCTGCTGATTCTCCTTCTGCTCCCTCTGGATCTGTACAAGGTGCCCTCGGAGTGAACTCAGTCCTGTCTGCATGCAGCCACAATCACGGCATGAAACGTTTGTTTTGGTCTTAAGGAGCATCCTTCCTGTTCGAGAGAAAGGAACAGACCTTGTCGCTCATTTTCCAAATCTCAGTGATGATTGCTGAAACAAGTTGTTGCTTCTGCCTCCTCAGGGAGAATCCTTCAGAATGAGGTTTTCTTTCTTTCCAGTGTTGTGCTACAGTGGTCTTAAAACTCTCTTTTGTGAAATAATCACAAAACCATTAGTTTGCTCTGAAGCAAACTAATGGAACCTTTTCCCACTGAGCCAGGTTCTGCTGGGAGTACCCTCCTGCTAAAGGGAAGTCTTCCTTTCCGCTGCCACTGCAGTACGTTCTGACTGTAAAGTCAACGACGAGCATCTTGAGACGACATTGTTGTGAATTTGGGTTGTATAAGTAAACTGAATTTAATTATATCAGTCCAGACAATTGTATGCCATCTTTGTTTTTTCATTATCTTCTTCTTCTTTGTCTTCCACTTGGGCTGATCGGACGTGTCCTTCTGTCTCCTCCAGCTCTGGAGACCCAGACCGTGGCCCCTGGGAGACCTTGCCTGTAAGCTGACTATGTTCCTCTCAGAGTGCTGCACCTTCAGCACCATCCTCCACATCACCTTCCTCTCCCTGGAGCGGTACCTGGCGGTGTGCTGGCCGATCACAGCCAAGACCGTCGTGACGCGCCGCAGGACCAGGGTCATCATCGGCTGCCTGTGGCTGGGTGCGGCCGTCAGCGCGTCGCCCGTCTTGATCATGGTCGGAGTGGAGGACGTCGGGGGAGAGGAGTTTGGGCTCAACCAGTGGAGGGAGGATGGGGGCCGAGAGGGAGAGCAGGGTGGGGTAATGATGAGCGGAGCGGAGAGAGGGGGCGCAGTCATGGCTTTGCTGGATGCACGGTTGGAGGAAGTAAAGTTGGCAGAAAAGGAGAAAGAAGAAAGGGGTGCAGACTTCACAGACTTTATATGGCTTGACGACAGAAACAGCAGATCAAGAGAGGGAGCTGAATGGAAACAAGGGGACATTAAAGATAAAACTGAAGAGGCCGAGGAGCCAAATGAGGAGGAAAGGAAGATGGAATTTGAGAAAGATCAGCAAAACAAAAAGAAAGAAGATGAGGGGGGAGGAAGAGAGGAGAGAGCCGATGCCAGCCGTGGCGGAGAGGTCGACAGGAGGGAGTGCCGCTGCACACACTACGCCATCTCCTCGGGTCTCTTGTCCGCCATGATGATTCTCTCCAACTTGTACTTCCTGGTGCCCCTTTGTATCCTCGGCCTGGTGTACACCCTCATTGGACGGACACTGTGGCTCCGCCCAAAGAGCAGCAGAAGAGACCAGAGTCACCGAAGCACAGTGAAGATGTTAGGTGAGGGCCTTTCCACGAACCTTCAAACTGTGTAAAGGTCAAGAGTTCATTATGAGAGATAGAAATGTATGAATTTGTGATATAAATATCTTGAAGCTATGCACTGACTGATCAGGTCAAGTGAGAAGAAGCAAAGTCAATTGTCTTAAGTTGGTGAAACATTGTCTTTAGTCATAGATAAAGCATCACAATGAAAACTCAGTCATGAGGCTGAATATGGTCATTCAGAGTTCTCTGAATGCTCCTCATCACCCTCGTCAGTGAAGGTCAACTCCACAGTGTCCAGTAAAGCCGTTCCGACTGGTTGCTCAAGCTAGCAACACTACAGTTAGCATCTACATTGGAGTTTCATGGCTCCAATGAAACTCCAACTCCGCCGTCAAACTGCAGGGATGTTTAGCCCGTCGAACACACTATGCAACTTCAAGGTACATGCTAATTTGGGTGTTGCTAGCAGCTGACAGTTAGCAAGTTGCACTTAGTGATTTTTTTTTTATTCTGTTTGTCTGTCTTTGCCCTTTTTCTTTTTAACCGATTTCTCCAAACCCAGCCACACTCTGTAATGTGCTCCATAGCAGTGGATACTTCTTTAATACTTTCTCATAAGCCTGATTGTAAATCTGATTCTCAACTCGATCGCCAGAAACGGGCAACAACTCAATGATGAGTTCAACTCTTTCATTTTCGTCCTGTCACGTTAAATGCTGACAGCAGCTCTCTGGTTTTGGTTTCACACAACCACTGGACGGAAACGTTCCTTCAAGGTCAATGTATAGCAGCTAGCAACTTGTTAGCTTGTCACAATGCTAACAAGTTGTTTATAACCTGTCTGTCAGTGCTACTTTGATGCATATATTTTACTTGTTGATGCCGACAAGTAAAATATGTACAAAGGGTAACTTTTTTTTTAAAGAAGCGGCTTCTTGAAATTCTGTAAGAAGTTTATTATGTATGTGCAGGTTTTGCTTCATGATCACGTCACTCTCTTAAATTCTCTCTCCTCTCCGTCTGAACCGCCACCAGGAGTGATCGTCTTGGCATTTGTGCTCTGCTGGCTTCCCTTCCACGTCGGCCGGACTATATTATCCCTTTCTCTCGGCTCTGGCGTTGAGAGACAGGACGCCTACCTGAACGCAACCTCCCACGCCGACGCCAACACCGGCGCTCTCGAGAAAGTCAGGACGAAACGACAGTTTCACAACGGTACGACGTACGAAGTGCCAAACAGGACAGAGGTCACTGGAGGCCCCCAAAAGGTCAAACAAAGTCCCGGCCCTCTCACTACCACCACGATCGCGTACACCGCCACGCCCACCGACCTTTATGCTGACGTTGCACTCAACGCTCCCTTAAACAGCACACACTCTCACCCTGACACTCACATGTACTTTCTGTACTATCTGTCCCAGTATTTTAATCTTGTGTCTTCTGTCCTCTTCTACCTCAGCGCCGCTGTCAATCCGTTGCTTTACAACCTGATGTCTGCCAGGTACAGACTGGCTGTTCACAGCCTCATACACAAACACCCTCACACACACACTCACACTCACCGCCTGCGCACGCTCACGGCTCGCCACTCCACCACCACTTTGTAGGCTACCAGCAGAGCTGGCTCACAGATTCAGGACTTAGGGCTGGAACGGACGAAGGGTTTTTTTATGTCTTGAGAAACATTTACGTGTCGATTTGGCCGAATGTTTTGAAGTATTCTAAAAAAAAAAAAAAAAAAGGCCGGATGACAAGTTTTCAGTGCTCTGATACAGCAATTCTCGACAAATCCACAGGAAATTAACCAAAGAATTAGGAATAAATATGTATTTTTTTAAGTATACATCTCAGGACAACAAACTTGAAATTGCAAATTGGTCGACTCAAAGTGACACAGTGAGAGTGAAAAAGAAGATCTTGAGTAAAAAAAATCATTATTTCCCTTAAGGATCAGTAAAGTGTTTTTGAATTTGATTTAATTTTATTTCATTGAATGAACCACATTAAAGAATATTTTAATCAAAAGTGAAAACACGTCATGAGGTTAGATGATGAATAAAAAGGAGGAAAACAGAACAAAACAAATATGGAATGATTCATTTGAACGATCTTTTCTGAGTTCATCTCTACTGTTTTTAAGAGATATATTTTAGCACAAAAAGGAAACATTTAATGCAATTCACTGTCTGATGACAATGACCAGGAACTAAATGGTTATGCCTCTTATTTATACAGTGCATATAAATATCTGTGATCTTGCATAACTTTTAAGGTATTTCCATGTGCTCGTTTGTCGTTTGATGCTTTGTGTTACATCATTGTTCGATCGGTTCTGATTATAACCTGGTAGTTTTGTTGGACTGAATGGACAGACTGCGGTTCTCATCCTGTCCTGCAGGTTCTGGAAAAGATTAAGCCAAGGTTAAGAGTATAAATACTTAAATCTCTTTAAAATGCCAAGGTTGTTTCAATATGCATATTTAGGTGGACTGTGTGTAAATGCCAAAAATAAATAAATAAATAAAAAATTGGATTGCACAAGCACACTCGCACATACTCACCTCACACAGACAAACGAGGCAGGGCTATTTCACTGATTCATGGAGTTTGATTCAGGTTGATGTGTTTTATGTGACATGCGTCACATTATGGACGCCGATGTGGCAGATGCGGCTGCAAATGGCTTTATTTGATGTTCAGTTAGAGTTTCATGTCTTGTGTAAAGGACATTTCCTCCGCTGCTGGCCCGACTGTCAGCAGGTGACGATTGAGAATGGATTTCCTGAAGTTCAGCGGACGCACTGGCCTCAGGCCAAGAGGGACAATTGATTAGATTGGATCTGTAATCCAGCCTATTCCCTGCTAGGTGTTCAAGATTTTTTCTTTTTTTTTTCTTCTTTTCTTTTCTAAGAACCGTGTTCTTGGAAATATGGTCTTGAGATTTCGACTGGAAATGGACATAAAACTCTCCTTTAAGACGGTGATGAATGTTTCTCATTGCTTTCTCTGCTCCCGGTGAATTTACGGTTAATATACAAACGGTATACTGAATGTTTTATGTTCTCATCATTCGGCATGTTAAAAGATTTAATATAAGCTGTAAGATGTTTACAGTTTTTTTGTATTGATGTTCACATTTACCTATTAAAGACTGCTGACAGTGGTAATGTGACTAATCTTCTTACTTTGCTCATACAAATGACTCTCTATTGCTGTTTATTATTATTGTTATTGATCATTATGGACAGACAGTACAAACTATATAATCAGAAAATGCACTACAGTAATAATTTGTATTTATTTTAGTTCTGTCAATCAGTTAGAAATTTTATTTCAAACAGAAATTACAAAAGGACTTTTTCCAGACATCCGTCATGGTGATTTCCTTTCTTTTTTGTTTTTTTTTTTCTTTAGAATGTTTTTTTTTCTATTATTTTTTAAAATTTGCCTTTATTTGACAACAATTTGGGAAAGAGATGTGGCAAAGGAACCAAAGATGGGATTCGAACTCGGGACCGCTCATCAAGTCTGACTTTCCTCGTTCATGTTTTCACTGATGTGTCGCGTTTGCGCCGCTGTGCAGGACCGTGTGATGCTGCTTCGAACCATGTGACCCTCCGCGGAGGAGAGGCTTTCAGCTCAAAATAGGTAAAGTCATTAACATTAATGCCTTAAACTTTTTAGATTAATCACAAGCGAATAAACCTGGATGAGCTCCAGGTTTATTGCCACTGATTCGTCTTGCTGTAATCTTCTAGATCCCATGACCCAGAGAGCGTTGGTGACATCTGATGCTTGTTTGTCCAGGGTGGTTTTCCGGCACTGTTTTTCCTCAGCTTCATGGATCTATCATAACTTTGTTACCACTGAGACTAGACTGGACGGTTCAGCCATCAAAATTCTCCTCATGTCTGTCAATCCGCAAAGCCCAACATAGAATCTGGTGCATTAGTTATGAAATTAGCACTACTCTTCATACTGTTTATAATCTGTCTGAATCCTATTGAAGAGGCAGCTGTTTAAAGGTACTTTTAGTGTTTAATTTGTGGTTCTTTCAGAATAATTCAACAAAGGGCTTGTCATTTAAATATGAGAGAAAGGGGTTTATTTTCAGATTTTCTGAGGGCTTTTGGCTCCACAGTTTACCACATCCGTCTCCTTATCCAGCCCTGCAGACAAAGTTGAAGAGATGCTGCTCTCTGCTGGCCTTTAGAAGTAAGACAGTACCACAAATCCAACTCTCCAATGCAGTCATGTGTCCAAAAAGGCAGATCATGTCTGAAAGGAAGATTACGGTTTGTACACATCAAGAGATAGTGCAATGTAAGAACATTAGGGTCATAAAAGTCAACATGCTGTAATGACCTCACAGGCTGTTATGGATGCTTCCCAGATATTATTAGCAAGTTAATTGGCTAACATTTTCACCTTTTACATCATTACATGTTCTGCGTAACTCCTGGATGAAGTGAGAGCGCTTCATCCAAGACAGTTGGTCTAAGAGACTGTGGGCCTTACATGCTGTCTACCTGCAGATGGGGCTGTGCGACAAAAATGTGAAAGAGCCACAAACAGATGCGTCTGATCTGTGGCCCTTTTATATTTTTGGAATCTAGACCCGTGACCAACTGAGAACTGTTTGGATTTCATTTGTGTTCATATTTTGATTGCTGTCTTGTTTTCTGTACTTTATCTCAGATCTGGTCTTTTAGCTTCTTTGTCTGTAGCATTTAGAAAAGTCTTCTGATGTTTCGGATCAGATTTGTTTGCTGTCATGTCAAGCCCTCACGCTTTGGTTCACTCGTTTCCTCCTTCAGAAATCAGTCCCTGCTGTTTCTTGTGCCTTGTGTTGCGTGTGTATGCAAACTAATACCTGTGCCACAGCTCCGTCATATTCTGACGTTTTTTTCTTGAGTCTGTTCTTGTGCTACCTTTTCATAAACACCTGTGCCTCAGGTTCTGCTGCGTCATCCTGTCAGGGTTGAATATTTCACATCAGACCAATCTGCACATCCTTCTGAACGAACAAGATCACTGTCAACACAACACATGACAGAAATATTTCTTAAGCCCATGTGAGCTCGGCATTACCTCAAAAGGACAAAAATGATGACACAGTGTTGATTGGGGAGGGTAACCACAAATCCACACCACCCATGTGGGGTCTTTTCAGGTATGCTTTTCGTTCGTGGCACTAAATGTATAGAAGAAACAGTTTTTGTGGATAAACTTTGAGAGGATGGAAAGAAGAATGGAAGTAATTACCTGTTTTCTTGGCCTTTGCCTCCGTTTTGCTTAAAGAGCATTACAGGAACAATTATCCAGAACCAAACAGCATTTATGTCTCGGAAGGGATCCCAGACGTGATAGCAGCAGGAATGAGTGCCATGCATCTCCCTCTCTGATTTAAAACCAATTATCTGTACATCCTGCACCGTTTTATGGTATCTAGCCTACACTTAAGGAGCCGCATCTCAATAGGACCAAAGCCTGCTGCAGTCCGGCATCACTGTAAACATAGATTTACATGTTTCATTAAATAGTCGACAATTTCGCACATGAAGCCAAGAGATTTTTTACAGAACAAATTTATTCTTTATGGGCTTTCAAAGTCTTTTCAGTCTCACGCCTTCTAAGCCGCCCTCAGCATGGCCAGTAGCCCTGCATCAAATGATTGAAGAATCTAATAATAAAATGTGGAGAAACTTCCAGTCAGGTTTACAACCGGCATTCATTACCAGTGGCCATGTGGCAGAGAAGGAGGGATTTCAGCGGAGACCCCTGAGGTAGGGAGCTGACGGATGGGTTGTAGATTCAGATCTTCTGGGGAGCAAAACTCATGATGATCAGAGCGTTTTGCTGGTTGGAGCCTGAAAGCCTGGCTTTGTGACTATATACAAGAATCATGGATGAAGGCAGCAATCCACAGCGAAAACAGAGTTGCTGAAAACGGAAACTTTCAGGAGACGGTTGAATTGTTAGTACGTATGTGTATAAATTAGAGACGCACCGATCTGATATTAATGTCTGCATCTGTCCTAACATAGAAAAAAAAAATTCTAGTTCAGGTTTCAGTGACAATGTGTCTGATCGGTAAGGGCAGATCTATTCACTCTAATTCTATGCTCCGTGCTGTGGGCGCCGTCATACTTTATTATTTATTTTACATTATATTTAATATTCCTAATTGCACTTTCTGAACCATTTGAAAGAAGGTTGGTTGCAGTTTGTTTTACGTGTTTGACCAATTCATCCTGTTGTTTTGTCCCTTTCAGTTTAATTTATTATTTATTTTGCATTGACTGTTATGCTCAAAGTTTCATAGATTGAACAAATGACAGTTGTGCTGTTCTTACATGATTGAAAAGTTTGTGAAGTTATTGGCGTATTTACTTGTGCTGTACTGCTGCAGAGATCAAATACATGTGTACATTCAGTGCATTTCTGATTGTGTTCATAAAATGTTTCAAGTCAATTTAGTTATTTTTCTGTATTGGATTGGTATCGGCCAGTACTAAACCTCAGATATCTGTCTTGTAGGTCAAAAAATTAACTGGTGCATCCCTAATATATACATATAAGGGTTCATTCAAATTTAATGAACACTTAAGTGGAAAAAAGGGAGAAAGATGCGACAAAAAGCTTGAATTTTAAAGCGGTAAGAATAGAGAACAGAGGATAAAGTAAATACAAGATAACTCGCTACGTGTTTTCTTCTATCCCTGCAAAAAGAGAATAGAGAAACCATAGCGACAAACAACACATGCATATATAACAATAACAATTACTATATCACTGAAGAGTACACGCTACTGAACAGACAGGATGCGTTCTTGTGTGTGTGTGTGTTTACGCAGCTGTATGTGTCTTAATATAAGGTGGAGTGGCAACCACAGAGAACTTGCTTAAATAAAAAGAGGATTTTATTTTTAGTTTAGCACATTTAATAGTAAAGGTCTAAATTTGTCATTTTACATGACAAAATTCAAAAAATATGAGTTAAAGCAACTTTACTGTGACTTTAACAACATCAGGATTCAGTTTAGTGTCGTGGCTCAGATATAACCGAAGACACAGGTAAAACAAATGTGCAGAAAACAAGCAATAAACATGTATTCTTACATTTTGAAGGATTTTATTGAATTGAAAATTGATAAATAAATGCTGATAATTCTTTGCGGAGCTGAGAATTTTTGACTCAGTGCTTATTTGCAGTTACGTCTGTAAAGAAAAGGAAAAAACTTGGATGAGGTCAAGTGAGGAGAAAACAGAGGTGAGTCTTTCCAACACATAAAAGCTGATTGAATCTGCAGCGGGCATCGTGATGAAAGGCGGCTTCCTGTCACCTCCTGTTCTGGACCTCTGCACTCATTTCATTATGGCACAGTGCCATGCAAGATGCTGTGTGTCTTCTGTCAAACCAGGATTACGCTGTGTGATCTACAACATGACAGAGCATCTGCAAACATATGGGCGACACGTGAAGAGAAGCAACCTATTCATATTTTTCAAAACCTTCTAAATCTCCCCCGCATTTATCATGTTCCAAAGTGAATGTTTTCATGTATTTTATTTGTATTTTATGTGACAGACCAAAACCAAGTAGGGCACAAGTTGAAGGAAGATGAGTCATTTGTCATTTTATATTTAATTTTACATCATTACAAAATCAAAAGAAAATAAATAAATAAAAAAGAAACAAATTGAAAACATCCTACTTTCATCTCCAGTGTTTGTACTAAACCACCTTCCATGTTCCATTTTTTTACTTCGGTGTCCAGGTCATCCAGGGCTAGAGTGGTTTTTATAACCATAAATTATAACAACCATAAAGTTGGGGCAATAGGAACGTTTCAGACATTTTTATTGCTGAAAAAGATGCGGTCCTACTGCAAATTCCAGCAA